GCAGGGCGACGCGGGCGGCGGCGCGACCGTCGGCTCGAAGTCGGCGACCTCGACCTTGGAGTGGCCGCGGCCGACGCGGCGCCGGAGCCGCGCGAAGAAGCCCGGCGGCTTCGGCGGCCTCGCGGGCTCCGGCGCCGCCGGCGGCGGCGGCGGGGCCGCCAGCGGCGCCGGCTCGTCGGCCTCCTCGGCCTCGGCGGCCTTGGCGAGCTCCGCGACGCCGCGGTCGTCGTCGACGACGAGGACGCCCTCGGGCTCGGGCTCGGGCGCGTCGCCGAAGGCCGACCCGACGCCGCAGGCCCCCCAGCCGCAGGCGGGGCGCTCGTCGGCGTCGCCGGCGTCGTCGCTCGGGCCGTGGGCCGCGCCGGAGAACGCGTCGTCCTCCTCGGGCCCGCGGTCCGCGCCGGGCCCCTCGGCGAAGGCCGCCGGCGGCGCGGGCTCCCCGCCGTCGTCGTCGGGCTCCGGCGCCGCGGTCGTCGCGTCGTTGAAGTCGACGAGGCCGCAGGCGCCGCCGACGCAGACCGCGCGCTCGTCGGCGTCCTCGCGCGCCGCGTGGTCGCCGGAGAAGAGGTCGTCGCACCCGGGCTGGGGCTCGGCGAAGTCGCCGGCGCCGTCGTCGCTCGTCGGGCTCGCCGCCGCGCCCTCTTGCTCGCGCTTCTTCCGCTCCCTCCGCTCGCGCCGCCGCCGCTGCTTCTCCTCGTCGTCCTCCTCGGGCGCCGACTCGGCCTCCGCCTGCTTCCGCTCCCTCCGCTCGCGCCGGCGCCGCTTCTTCTCCTCCTCGTCCTCCTCGGGCGCCGACTCGGCTTCCGCCTGCTTCCGCTCCCTCCGCTCGCGCCGGCGCCGTTGCTTCTCCTCGTCGTCCTCCGGCGCCGACTCGGCTTCCGCCTGCTTCCGCTCCCTCCGCTCGCGCCGGCGCCGCTTCTTCTCCTCGTCGTCCTCCTCGGGCGCCGACTCGTCGCCGTCCTTCTGCTTCTTCTTCTTGCGGGGCGCCGCCTCGTCGTCGGGCGCCGGCGGCGCGCCGCCCGCGTCCGCCGCGGCTGGCGCGCTGCACTGCTTCCGATGCGCGCCCCAGTGGGCCGACTGGCACGCGGGGCCGCAGTAGCGGACGCGGAGGCACCGCGAGCACCGGAGCGGCGCGCCGTCGGCGCCGCAGTAGGCGCAGTTCTCGACGGGCGGCTCGGGCGCCGCCGCGGCGGCGCCCGCGTCGTCGCCGCCGTCGAGGGGCAGCGCCTCGGCCTCGTCGACCTCCGGCTCGCCGCCGTCCGCTTCGGCCTTGGCCAGGGGCGGCGCCTTCTTGCCCCAGGCGAAGGACGGGCGGGACATCGGCACCGTCGAGAACCGCCACGACTTCGCGGAGGGCGACGCGGGCTTCGCGGAGGCCTTGGACTTCCAGCCGCAGCACGCCGCGAAGCGCTTGAACTCCTCGGGCACGGGCTTGAAGAGGTACTCCTCCGTGACGTACTCGAAGCCCGCGATGAGCGGCAGGAGCAGCGTCATGACCACGAGCAGCATGACGTAGTGCTCCGGCGAGTGCGTGTCGCCCTCGGGCTCGATGACGTAGCACGCGCCCTCGAGGGACGCGCAGGGGTCCCACTCGCAGAGCTCGTTGCCGAAGAGCGTCTTGTCCTGGAGGCACCGCGCGCGGTCCGCGAACGTGTCGCAGGGCACCTCCGGGTACGAGAACTGGACCTCGAGCGCGATCGCGACCATGAAGCCCAGGAGCTCGAAGCCGAAGGCGAGCGCGCGCGACGACCGGGCCACGTCCTCGTGGGAGTAGATGATGTTGAGCACGGGGTGGCCCAGCGCGAGCACGTTGCGGTAGTGGGCCCAGTCCTTGCGCAGGAAGACGACCTCCGTGCGCCGGTCGAGCGCGGCCGCGGCGTACTCGCCGAGGGGCACGTCGGCCTCCGCGTCCTCGGGGATCACGAGGTCCGCGGTCACGAGCAGGTCCGGGTCCGCCTCGCGCTTCTCGTCGCGCCGGTCCCGGTGGGCGCCCCAGGCCGCGAAGAGGAGCACGACGGCGAGCACGCCCGCGAGCGACATGATCATCATGAGCGCGCGGCTTAGGTCCGGCACGGTCGTGAAGCCGGCGACGTAGGCCCCGTAGCTCGGCGTCGCCTCGTCCTTCGTCGAGAAGTCGGCGCTCCCGGCCTCGAGGCCGCACTCGCAGACCGACTCGCCCTCGTCGCCCTCGACCATCGCGCAGCCCGCGGGCACGACCCAGCCCGCGAGCGCGCTGTCCCAGACGGAGCACGCCGTCTCCTCGCTGCCGCAGCGCAGCTGGTGCTCGCCCTTGGTGCCGTCGCACGCCAGCACCTCCGTCGAGTTGTCCGGGCACGTCACCGTGATGTTCTCGACGACGCCGCAGAGGCACGACACGTTCTTGACGAGCATCCACGGCGGGAACTTGGGCGGCGACGGCACGGTCCCGGGGATCGTGAGGGTCACGTTCGTGAGCTCCGTCGCGTTCGCCGCGGCCGTGCCGTTGGGCGCGACGGCGACGCTCTCGTTCGCGTTCCGCAGCGTCGCCGTCGAGTTCGCGAGGCGCCGCCGCCGCCGCCGGTGGCGCCGCCGCGCGGCCGACGCCGCGTCCCCCGAGCCGTCGTCCGTGCCCAGGTCGAAGCGCACGGTGTCGGACGTCGCCGCGAGGCCGCCGGCGCTGTCGCCGTGCGGGTTCACGGCGAACTCCGAGAGCGCGGTCGTGTACTCGACGCCGTCGCTCGGGTTCAGCGCCGCGCCGGAGGCCAGGCCCAGGGACGGCCCGAGGTCGAGCGTCGCGGCGTCGCCGTCGGCCGTCGACGCGACCTGGTTCGCGGAGCTGTAGTCGTCGGCGGTGACGCCGACGGCGGCCTCGTTGGCGATGAGCGTGTCGAGCTGCGCGACCCCCAAGTCGTCGACGATGGCCATGATCGTCTGCGACGCCGACTTGGGCGCGGCCGTCGGCGCGGCCGTCGGCGCGGCCGTCGAGCCCGGCGCGGCCGTCGCCGCGCGCCGCGTCGCGTTGCCCGTGCCCGCCGCCGCCGCCGGCGACTTGAAGAGCGAGCTCGAGAGCATGGACGACACGACGGCGCCGAAGGACTGCGTCGTCGTCGACGCGCCGCCGCCCAAGCCCGCGGCCACGAGCGAGCTCACGAGCGTCGCCGCGAGGTCCAGCGCCTCGAAGGCCGTGTCGCCGCTCAGGGCCTTGGCGTTGGCCACGGGGCCGACGAGCGCGGCGGCCGTCTGCTCGATGAGCGTCTCGTCCGCGTCGAGGTAGGACGCCGTCGCGGACGCCAAAGACCCGACGAGCGTGTCCAGGAGCGCCGTGTCGTTGGCCGCGGCGCCCGACGTCGCGGACACGGCGCTGCAGATCGCGCTCAGGTCGTCGGACGCGAAGGCCTCGGCCAGGAGCCGGTCCGTGACGTTCGCGAGCGCCTCGCCGCTCAGCGACGACGCGCGGACCTCCACGGTCATGAAGTTGCCGTTGCGCGCGCCGACGGCGTCGACGGCGACGACGGCGACCGTCGTGTGGTTCGTGCCGTAGTCCCGCAGGCTCGGGTCGTCGTTGACGCTCTCCGCGAGCACGGTCGCCTGGAGCTTCGTGTCCGCGGACGCGATCTTCAAAATCTCCTTGGGCGTCGCGAAGCCGTAGCGCAGCGGTAGATTGTCGCCGACCCAGTAGCGCGCCTCGAAGCTGAACGTCGTCTCCAGCGCGACGCCCGACGTCGGCCCGCCGGCGATGACGCCGCCCGAGGGCGGCCGCGCGACCTCGACGGTGACCGTCGAGAAGCCGCGCGACGACCAGGCCGCCGGCGCGTCGCCCGACGCCGTCGCCTCGAGCATGAACTTGTAGGTCGCGCCGGCGACGAGCGACTCGGCGACGAGCACGAGGTCGTGGTACCGCGCGGCCGCGAGGTCGCCTTGAATGGCCACGGCCGTCGCCGCGGCGTCGCCGAGGGCCACGCCGCCGGCGAGCTCGCCCTCGACGACGGTCCAGGTCGTGTTCAGCGTGCCGATGCTGCCGACGCCGTCCGGGGGCTCGATGATGCCTAGGATCGTCTGCTTCACGGCGCTGTTGACCTTCGTCGCGAAGCCGGAAACGACGACGCGCGCGGGGTCCGCGGCGACGACCTCCAGCGTCACGGACGTGCCGTCGCGGCGCCCGCCGCTCGACACGACGAGGGCGAACTCGTAGGTGCCCGCGCCGAGCGCGGCGCCGTCGACGCTCAA